ACATGCGTACATATGTGTATGCATGTGTCAGTAACCTACCTCTGCTGTGTTTCCAATCTGGTTTTTGTTTTTGTTTTCTGGTGAGAATCAGTGCAACATTCACCACCACAGAGCAGCTCAGCACTATCACGAGCACAGTAACCAGCGGGAACGCCACTGCAACGAGAAAACATCCCAGACGTTTAACATCTCATTTACAAGTCTGTGTAACAGCGCACGTCTACATACACATCAGTTCTATGTTAAGTACGTATAATGATTATTTTCATATTTAGGACTTTAAGACTCTTTTCACAAAAGCTAGAAACAAAAATCATTCTGGACTCAAACAACTTCTTTGACTCATTTTCCTACATGTTCAGTAATAAATGATCATAAAAGTTAGTTCAGACATTCAGTCATGATTTTTATGTATACGTTCAACTTTTACTAAGCACTACTTCAGAACAATTATATTAAATAAAACTTCATGACATGCCTGCAGAAAACCTTTTTCTCCTCAAGCTCAAGAGCATTTTTTGTTTTTTCTTCCCTACATCACACAGTAACAGCTGTACAACAAAGCCAGATTAATGGGCCAGTGAACTGTGTGTAGCTTAGTTCAATTTTCACTTTCACAAAGGTGACGCTCTTTGAATCTGGCAAAATGAATGTTGCACCTCGTGTTGAATGCATTCATTTACTCACCCATTGGATTGTACAATATAAATAAAAAATAATAGAGATAAATTACTATTTCATGGAAATTTGTCCATATACGGGAAAGAAAAGAGAGTGGTGCAGAAAGAGTTCACAAATACAGTTGTAGCCTTTTTTTTAATTTGAATAACTGTTCAAGTGTTCCCTTAATTGTTTTGTACAGATATATTTATCTTACTCATCAGTGGGTTTGTCGTGATCAAATCACAAGATTAATGATTTTCTGCAGTGAAAGATGATAATGAGACCAATCACCTCTTATTGCATTTGTGTCATAGTGCACCCCTCTGCTAAACATCAGCACGTTCATATTTGGGAGAGTTTAAACAC